GTCGTAAGTCGCCAGTAGAATTGATTCAGACTGAATATTCATTCCATTACAGACTTTCTACACAATTTTTTTGGCCAGGAAGAGGACACCTGTCGTCAGCATATTCAGCCGTCGAAACCCTGTACAGTGGAAGGCCTTCACATGAGGTGTCATTTCGGTGGAAAAGCAGTCAGAATAGAAAACTTTGAAGTTTTATTCAGAGGTGTTTCTGGTAGAAAAATTGCTGTTTGAGGAAAACGCGTGGGAGAGCAGTTCTGATCACCACAAGAAAGTGTCGCAGTCTTACGGTAGACCGATTGCGATCCATTCTTTCGAAAAATGACTATGTGAACCGCTAGTGGATATCGAATGTAAACATCACTCCTCATTCTCGGTAACACTTCTTCGGTGGAGGTCACGAAGTGAGTCTCATTTTCTAACTAGGATCACTCGGAGCGGTACGGTGCTCCTGTAGTCTGTAAGGATGGCGGACAAGAAGCGAAGCGAACGTAAGGAAAAGGTATGTGTTATGCACTGATATCGCGCGACATCTTCAACATGCTACTCTCATTTACATACGTTCTTTCTTTGTCAAGTGCCAAGGAGGTATTGAAACCACGTTTAATCACAGATCCGACGATGGCTTCAATCAATAGTCGATAGGTTAATAAAGGATTGGAAGCCAGCGCTGTGCCAGTCGTTATTCACCGAAGCTGAACTCATTGAACTGTGCTATCGGGCAAGAGAGACATTCTGGAGTCAAAAAACAATGATTGAGGTATGAATTGAGTTGAAGGTGTTGGAAACGTGTTTGGAAACGTATGGGATCAACAATGGCCCAATGAGTTCAACGAAAATCGCGTTGAAAGGGCCACCAATATTACGAATCGGGCTTGTCCAGCGCCAGATATAGGCGAGCAGGAGCTAGGGTAACCTAATGCTTCCCCAAACGCGTTCGCTTCCCTTCTTGAACTGACGATGCCGTGGCTGAACTAATGGCACGACCGGTTTACTTGCACCATTCCTACTAATCGCGCTGATACCCTGCGATATAGTGATTAACTTCGAATCACTTATACTGTAGTTCGCTGCGGACGGTTGGGCGTGTCAGTGCGGCTGCGTTTGGCGCGGTGCCAAACCCGCTCTCCACCAGTTGTTGAATGCAAGCAACATTGATATGACTGTCATGTCGTGTCCGTATTACTGCGTTTTCTACTACTCTTTGTTCCATGCGCCTCTTTCAACAAGAAAGCAGAGAACGCCCTCCGTAGGGTGACCACACCTCATACTGGCTGAGCACGACCAACCGTTCGCAGTAGAACTAGAATGTCATGTTCATGTGGGTGAATCAAGTTATTTATCAAACACTGAACTAAAAAAACTTTTTGCCGCGGGCAAACCCATTCAAACTGTCAGCGGTACAACTGGCTAACAACTGTTCTAGGGGGAGGATCTGTTGAGCGAATAAACATCTGCACGTATTACTGACGACAGAGATTTTTCTCAAACAAGGAATCCGATTCTTCACTGTTGTTGTAGATTCCGATTACACCAACTCTTCTAAGGGCCGAAATCCCAAAGGCACGCCCCATACTTCAATGATCGGCAGACTCCTTCCTCGGAAATGGTCGTTCTGTCAGCAAGTGTAGAGGATATGCTTCTTTGGCAGCTCAAAAGTACGTGAGCGAAGCGGAACTCACTAGCGACGAAGCCCTGCCCCGCCCATTAGTCAAGGCAACGCCCAGCTTTCATTTCTGAAGGCTCCCTGGTAGTGCGGTTGTCCGCCAGCTCTCTCCATTTCGAATGGCGAGAGTAAAGTGATAAAGCGAAAGAGATCATACTGATAAGGGACGACTCGTCTGACCACACCCATTCTTCGCATTTACAAGAGTGGTTCATCATGAGGGGCATTACCGAAGGCTTTTCTGCCTCTTCCTTCCTTACTGTATTAATTACTAGACATCTAGTAGTCGAGCCGTACGTACCTTCGAGTAGACGCCGGTCAGGGGAATAGGAAGTGAGGCATCAAGACTTTGCTTTGACGCGCGCCGTTGCCCTACCATTGCCGTAGCGCACCAACGCCATCGAGAGCTATCGATCGGCGCCGCTCACTAGTGTTTTCGGATAGTATGGGAGAACATAATACCAAACTACTCTTTACTCACTCTCATACTTTCTTAATCCCCCATACAGTCACGCAAAACACTATCGCACGCGATCTGACGCTCGCAAAGCCTCCTATACTCTTCCGGAGCACTGGCGGAATGCGTCGATCGATGCCCGTCCGTCGCTGCGTTGTCATCTACAGGACTGCAAGGGCGACGCATGTCATCTCAAAGTCTGAACGCAGCTTGAGGAAAAAGGAGCAGTGAACAGGGGACCGCACTTTCCGCGCGATCGATCTCAAGCGCTGCTATAGAGTGGTCGGCGTGGCTGGGCTACTGTAGGAGCCCGCATACAGCGGAAGCGAGGAATCTCTAGAGCAATTTCTCTCGACTCGCGGACACTACCGTCTCAAAGACGGGGTCTTCATCAGGCGGTAAAGAGCATCTTGGAACATTTGGGCACGCAGGAAAAGCTGTGTGTAAGATCCACTAACGATGTTCCCAACAGATCTTGTAGATATTTGCGTCCTTCCATCTTGCGCATTAGTGCTGAAGTTTCTCAATCGTTCATTGCCGATATCCGGATTACGGCTGACCGGCTCACCAAGTTAAACGTGTGAGTGCTGATAGGCTACGGCATAAAAGCCGTTAAGCTGAGAGGGTAAAAGCGGCCCTGGTGGCGTAACGGATAGCGCACTCG